AAACCCACCAGCCACTCCTTGGAAGGAAGATTGGGCAATCTACTTCCATGGAGATACTGCTTCAGAAACCCAAGGAGGGGTCGCTGTGGGTTGGATCCCGACTCGATGGCAGTGTTTTGTTTGGGTTTCTTTGTTTTCCTTTGGGATGCTGAATTGAGAAACTCCTCTATTTTTCCTTCTTTTTGCATTTCTGTACCTTCCCAATTTTCACAATGAAAAATATGTTTTAAAGGGGCCTGAGGGGTCTGTCTTGGCCATGACCACAGGGCTTAGCTAATCTGTGCATTTCTTCCATGTCTTTTCATTTGCAGAGGCAGCAGTGGCAGTGGATTGATGGGGCTTCATATTTATACAGAACCTGGTTTGGCAAATCTGTGGGTGGGAACAAGCATTGTGCTGAGATGAGTTCCAGGCATGGTAAGTTCTAATGCATAACCCCTTATCAAAACCCATTGCCCTCAAGTTGATTCCAACTCATAGCAACCCTACAGGACAGAGTAGAACTGCCCTATAACATTTCCAAGGCTAAAAATCTTTACAGAAGCAGACTGCCTCATCTTTCTTCCACAGAGCAGCTGGCAGGTTTGAACCACTCACATTTTGGTTAGCAACCAAGTGTCTTAACCACTACACCACCAGAGCTCCTTAAACAAAGGAGAGAATCCAGGTTTCATTCAGTCTGAAGTTACTCTGGGCCTCTGCTGGGAGCCTAGGGGCCATCCCACTGCCATCAAGTCAATTCCAACTCATAGTAACCCAATAGGAGAGAGTAGAACTGCCCTATAAGGTCCCTAATGCTGTAAACCTTTCTGGAAGTTCAGTTTGAACCACTGAACTTTTTGTTAGCAGCCCAATGCTTTAAACACAGAGCCACCAGAGCTCATCACTCCTTACTTCTTCCCAAATGGCAGCACCTTCCTTTCACCTGTTAAGAGTGAAAATCAGTATCCTCTCTCCCCTCATACCAACTTTTTTTTTACTATAGAACAGTAGCTTGCCACTGACATCTTTTAACAAAGTCAGGCATCTGTGAGCACTGTTGAGTTATTTACTTAACAATTTTCTTTGAATTCAGTCACATTTCTCAAGCAAATTCATTTTGAAGTCATATTAGATACCAAAACAAAACAAAACATATTATATACCACGGGGGGCACGTATGCCACACTTTGGGAAACCTGATCACAGGAAGCAAACATATGTAGTGAAATCCAGTAGATGCATGATTCCTCTCTGGCTTCTTTCAAATTAGAGTTCTTCATGAGCCCTGGAAGCCCAGTCTTTGCCCAAAGTCTTTCCACTTGTTCATTTCCCTCAGTTTTGTGCCAAAATGCAGCGTCCAGAACCACCACTGTAGGCTGTACATGAGCATTTGAGCTTCCTCATTTCCCTTGCCTGGCATCACTCTGCTTTTTAAGCTAACAAGTCAAGGTTTCAGCACTAATGCTAATGACATTTTGGGACAGACAATTCTTTGCTGTGGGGAGCTGCCTTTGTGCATTGCACAAGGTTTAGCAGCATCCCTGGCCTCTACTCACCCCCCTCCCACCCCAGCGTGACAACCAGGCAAATGTCCGACATGGCTAAGTGGTGTGGAAGATTTCAGTTGTAAAACAAGAACATGGAATATTCAAGATGAAAGAACACTTGATGCCAAAGGTCATGTATTTGAAAACATTCCAGTGGATCTAAAAGGCCCTCATAATGACACCAGGTCCCCCCTATAGCCAAGAAGTGGGCCTGAGACAGGGTCAGAACTGATAGCTCAGGCCCTGGGGCTCCAGTGAAAGGAGAACCAGCTTCTCCTAGCAGGACATGGAACAAGCGTTTACTGTTTGTTTTGGTTACTTTATGCTGTTCTAACAGAAAATGCCACAAATGGGTAACTTTAACAAACAGGAGTTTACTCTCTTACAGTTTAGGAGGCTAGAAGGACGAGTTCAAAGTACCAGCTCTAGGGGCTGGGTGAAGGCCCCCCAAACTTGAGCTTCAGCTCTGCCTGTTGCTCCCAGCCCACTGGAGCTGGAGGCCTTTCTTCACTTAGGCAGTTGCTGGCTGCTGAGGCTGACCAACCCAAGGCCGACAAATACAATGGCACAGCCCCAATATTACCACACAACATAGCAGACCACTATTTTAAGTTCAGAGACAGTCCCAAGATTGGCAGGAAACATGGCAGGCTACTGAATGAAGACTTGGCTACATTCAAGGTCCAAGCATGCAACAAAGCTGCAGATCATTCCTAAAACTTCTCCCTATACACTGGGTGCAGACCACATCCCTAAGGCAGCTACTCATGGCTCACAGTAGATTCAGCCATGGAGCTGATTACCAGTCTCATCATAGGGAACAGGGATATAGATCCAGCTCCCTAGCCACTCAAAACCAGACCCAGCCAAGTTGACACATAACCTCAACTACCACACTGTTGTCTGAGAAATCAAGCTTAAATGTGAAGAAGAAGTAAAAAGGGGGAGGGGGTGTTTGCAAGAAGACATTCTAACAGCAAAGTGTGAAAAGGGATGGGGAGTCTTGAGGAGACAGACTCTGAGGCAAGGCTTAGAAAGACCCTCAGAGATTAGAGGCTGGAGGAAAGACTCTTCATGGATTTGGAGACTCCAAGATTGCTGATTATTAAAGTCAGGTCAGATGGTAGGAACACAACCAAGACCAAAAGGTAGAAGCTACTGAAATGTAGATTTCTACTCAAAATGAGGAAACCATTTTTGAACAATGGGCACCATCCAAAAATATAATGGACTACCCCAGGAAGTAGTGAGAAACCAAACAAATCTAACCAAACAAAAAGTGAACAGTGACTCTACTGTTTCTGGCAATTGAAGCATGAAAAGTGTTACAAGACAGACTCAATGGCACATGAGTATCGACAGAGGAACATTTTTAAAGTTCAAATTCCAGGGAATCTTTTCAGACCTACAGCATCAGAATCCTGGGAAGCAGTAGAGCAGATGCCTCCCAAAGTCCCTTCCATCCCTATGATTCTGAGATTTGGGGCAAAGTCCCACACAAAGTCTTTCCCTGCCAGCCCTTGCTCATATCAGCAAAGTTCCAAATACAATAGTGAAGTTGCTGGTGTTATACCACTGGGAACCATATGTCTAATCTTCTCTTAAGAACATCACAGCTCTTGGCTTCCCTTCCTTTTCCAGACTTACTCAGCTCAGCTCTTAGCTATCAAATGTAGACTCTCGACACATTAAAGACAGAAAAACTAGTGGAAAGTTGATTTTAAGAGGACGTTCCCCTCAGTCCCATCAGTGTCAGTTTATATTTGCATAATGGATTTTGACCCCAGACTCAGTGAATAATTTTTTTTCTTTAAGATTTCACCCACAGCAGTTGAGTCAATTCTGACTCATAGTGACCCTATATGACAGAGAAGAATTGCCCCCTAGGATTTATAAGGATGCCACCTCTTTCTCTGATGGAGTGGCTGATGGGTTAGAACCACTGACCTTTTGGTTAGCAGCTGAGCACTTAACCACCAGGGCTCCTTTTCTTTAAGATTCAAAAGATACAAGATTAATTTCTTAATACGCAGCCACACAGGCATTCTACTTCTTTGTGTGACTAGACTTGCGCCCTGTCAAGTCTACTTTGAAAGACCCACAGAGCATTTGACTCTCACACTTTCTGTCACACTGTAGCTTTGTCTGTGGCCCTCTAGGGAAATAGTATCTCACAGTCCTTCCTGATTTATCTGCTAGTTCACTTAGAAGCATTTACTAACAATAACTCAGGTTTTACAGTTTTAAAAAGAAATAGTATAATCAATATAGTTTGCAGTCTGCATTCTGAATGTCTGGCTTAGAATTCTAGCTCCTC